GATCGGTAGCCAAAATAGTATACATCCTTCCACATGAGGTCTTTCAAATACCTTATGTTACATTTTCATTCTAAAATATGTCACACACACACACACACACACACACACACACACATTAATATATCTATAAACGTATGTATATCCTTGTGTTAGTCTCGCTGAGGCTTCCACCCACTACACTAAAGAATAAAATAAAACTGCACTCACCGAACATCCATGTAGAAAACAATCAGTGATGTATGTCTCTTAGCAGAAAGAGAAGAAGAACAGATTTGGATGCTCTCACTGAAGTTTTACACTGTTTTACTTAAGGAAAGGGGATGCTGGTGTTAAAGGGCCTCTTTTAAGAGGGAAATAGAAGGAGCAACAGTAACAATTTGTAAACTCAGTGGTTGCTTAGTTTCTTTGTCTCTCTTCCTACCTCTTGCCCCTCACTTCCTTTCTCCCTATCTTTCTTTCTGTCTCAAAAAAAAAAAAAAGAACAAAAGAAGACATGCTGCTCTTTAACCTCAAAAAAACTAAAGACAATGGAGAATTATATTTTATATTATCCAATATAAGCATGCCTTTTATGGCACCTCCCCTTTGGAAACCAAGAGCCAATATGTTTCAAGCTCTAAGATTAAACATTGATTGATGAATAAATATTTTTTAGTGCCTCTGGGATAAAGGATCTCTTGTGTAATTAACTAACAGTGTTCTCCTCAGCAAAGGGCCAATTTACAAGCCAGAATATGAAATACATAGATTGATGTTTTGACTCACTTAAAAAAAATCATTTATCTGTAAATAATTGGCAGGTGATCTTTTTTTTTTAAAACCCCATGGTGTTTCACCACTTTCTCCAGTTTCCTAAAAGCAAGTGTTGATTGGTCAACTCCATTAACACATGCAGATCCTTGTTTGAAGATTTGATGAGACAAATAGTCAAAGTACTTCAAATTCAAATGTCTAGTACTGAACAAATGTGCAAGGCTCTCCCAGCTGCACTGATTTACAATGCCCTGTAATGCTGCATGGCTACATGTCTAATGAACAGGCATCCCAATATGCCTCTTGGCCATAATATCCTAGAGGCTTCTGGAGACAGATGAATGGCAGCAGCAGAGCTATACAGCTCCCTACCACTGGGTGACAGGTAATTTCCACAACAGAAGGGCTGGTCTTACACTTTTCCTTCACCACGAGAGCACACAAGTGACCTGATCCTTACCCTACAGGCTCGCATAAAGCAGAGCTGTGAGGTACTGGCTTTTACCTCCTGTTCACAGTGGAACATCTTGCCATACCTGGCCATGCTTTGTTTCAGCCTATCTGTTGGCTGGTGTGTTGTGGCCTGGAAGCAGGAGACATTTGAGGGAAGATTTCTCAGGCTGTTCTATGTTTCCTCTGTCAGGGAGCTACATTCCAGTGGGACAAGAACTAAGGGAAGGTGCCATTTTTGTAGCCACTTCCAGTCTATGACTATCTGTTTCAGGGCCAGAAAAATAAGCAGTGGCAGGTAAGTCTAGAGGATCGGAAACAATGAGCAGCAGCCCAAGAAATTCAGGATGCCTATGATAAGATGGGTGTGTCATCTATGACACAAAGCGCTAACATGAAGATGGCCATGAACATGGGTACTGGATGCCTATTTCCATTGGGAAGCTGGGATCTCATTTACCCTCTGCTGAAATGCCACCCAGGTTGTGATGGGGAATTGCTTACCCCCTCTCCCCCAACATATAGTATGATCTTCTGTTTAACACAGGATCCAGAGCTTCTTCACTTTAATTGTGATTAAAGTCCAACAGATGCATGTAACAGACAGCCTAGAACTCTCTGTTTCTTTAGGAAAGAAGCAGCCCAGCAAAGGAGCACTGCAGGGAAGGCAGGGCACAGCAGCTGCAGGCCACCATGGCAATGAGGAAATGAGGCTAATCAGCAACACCTGCAGACAGTCCAGACAGTCTGCTGACCAGAAGCGGGTAGGGCTCTGGGATGATATAATCCTAAGGTTTAGGATAGTGAGTTTGTTTCTCTTGCCAGCCACAAGCTGAAGAGCTCCTGGCTGCAGGGCTCCTGGTTTAAGTTAGTTTTACTCCAGCAGATTAGTTTAGGACTCTAGGAGTTGTATATGGAGGTCCCATTAGTGCCAAGGGGCAAGCGATTGTCTTGAGCCCTGCCCAGGAAGACTCAAGGCTCAAGCAACTATTGATCCCAGAGAGGAGCAAAGGGCAAAGCCTCCAAGCCAGAGAGGGACCTGGAGCCTGACATACAGTAGCCAGGGGCCCAGTGCCCAAAAGGGCCAAACCAGATTTTGTGCCTCAAAACCAGGTTGGATACAGCGGCCCCAGACTATAGAACTAGCTAGTCCACAAGACTTTCTGCCTTGAAACCATAGACCCTGGGATGCTGACACTCTTGAAGTATCATGAAATCCTCCTTTGGGGTGATTCTAGGAAACCTTCTACCCTGGAATTCTTAGTCCCCATGGCTGTGGGATTGTCCTCATGGCTAGCTGCCTACAGATTAGGAGACTGGATTCCCAGCCTCTCCAGAGAATACCATATAGTTGATTTCCATGGGAAAGAAGACCCTGAAAGCTTGCCACCTAGTGTGGATGCCTCAGATCTACAAAACATAGGTGACAGGACAACTGTATAGGAGGATTTCCGCAAAGAGAACTCCTTGGGTTCCCAGGACAGTCCACATAGCTTGGTTGCCCCAGAGATAAATTGAGCTTGAATAGAATGAGATCATTAACTCAAAGGAAGTCTACAGAATGGGGCTTTCTAATTGCTGTTGACCATGGAATGAGGACTTGTATTATTCCTTCTTCAGAATATGGAGTGCTTGGCTGAAGAGCTTGAGCGTCCATGGTACCTTGCCATGGGGTGGTCTGCAAGGGTGGGTGGTCCAAGGCCATCTATTCTGGAAGTCTGTCTCCTTTCATTCATGAACCACATAACTGTGGTTGTGGTTCATTGTAACACTGAGCCTGGAACGTCTGGGCCTCCTGGTCACGGTTAGTGTGTCTGCCTGACTGCTATGGAGTCACGTATCCTAAAGGCCAAGGATTCTTTGTGCTGGTCAATGTGCATAACAGGATTGCTCCTAAGCTGTGTATATGATCTCTGATAATGACACCATTAACACATACAGAAAACTTGGATCCCTGGCCATGGAGTAGTATGCATAGTTAGGTGCTTAGGAGCCATGTATCTTGTGGGTGTTTGGTCCCAGACCCTGGGACAGTATTCTAGTGGCTGAGACCTTCAGCTCCTGGAAGCCCTGGAAATCTGGCCATGCTACAGCCTGTATAGGTGCACAGTCCCAGTGACCTGGATCTTGAAAGACTTGTAAGCCCTTTCATGAGCTAGTCCACATTGAAAGCCTTCCCCAGAGCACTTACCCTAGACACATGTCTTCTATGCCTCTGGAACAAGCTACAATTGAAGCATCCTTGGAACCACAGACCTCGGAAATATATTATTGCATTTTATGGAATAAAATGGACCTGTATGTAAAGACCATAGAAACCTGTCCCAGTACAATCCAGACAGCTTCAGAGCCACTGGCTGCCAGTAGAATTTTATTCCAGACAACTGTTGTATCTGCACACATTTCTAGAAACAATTGAAACTTAAGAAAGTGAGAAAGAGCATCTTATAATTGTACCATTATTGTGAGCTACATGAGACAGAGCTATTGAATGCTGGCTTATAGGGTATTTTGTGTTCCTTTTTACCATGCAAACTAAACTATTCTACAAAGAAATGATAGGTTGTGGTTAGTTTTGCAATGCAGATTCTTTCAAGGGGAGCTTTTACAAACACAAAGGGGATTTTTTCTCTGGGTGAACCTCTGTAAAAAGAGTCAGTTTGGGTGTCAGAGTTTCTACAAATATTTGGTGCTAACATTTCTGGAAGAGGTGTTTTCCTGCATAATGTTTGTGGCAACCTCTCTTCTAGGATGAAAAAATATTGCTTAGGTAGGGTGGTTACATTAAGGCAGAGTGCATACACATCAGTGGCTTTTCCTGCAATGAGAAGCCAGTTTACAAGGCTCTGACTTTTTTTACAGTTAGAGAGAGCTGAACACTAATTAAATAAATATACATTGGTATTAAACAGTATTCAAAAGATACGTTTCATTGAGTTTGGGCGTATGCATGAGAGAAAGGGAATGTACATGAGAGAAGGAAATTTGCTGTCATTTGTTACTGCCATTTGCTTTGAATTTGCATTCAGTTTCTTGCATGTTTATTAAAACACATGGTTGTATTTCCGATCTTGCTTGTCACCTCTTACAAATTATTACTCAATGAGATAACTGATGTCATTAAAATAATTTAGAAACAATCAGTCTATGTTTGACTAGGCATCAAATGAATGTTGTATTAAATTGGTCCCATGAATAGCAATAAGCCAATACAAAAGGTGCATAGACCCCATACAGATGTCTTCTGGGTGCTTTGGCTGTTTATATTCTCTTCACACAAAATACTTTAATCACTCCCTAGGCTTAGCCCCATCAGAAATGGAAGCAGGGGAGGTGGTAACCTTCCATGATGAAGGATACAAATCTGAAGGGACCGCTGCGCTTTTTAAATAGAAGGGGAAGAGCACATTCCAAGCAAGACTGTAGTACCAGCTCAACTCTTCAGGGAGGGACAGGTGTATTTACTGGGTGCATCCAAAGTCAGAATTAGGAGAGATAAGAAGCTCTGGTGAGGAAGCAGAACCCTGGTTAAGAAATTGAAGCCAATCAAATGAAGTTTGCAGTATCCTGTGGTTACTGGTAGGTGCTAGCTCGGTAATTGCATTATTGTACCATCTTCCAGAGAGGGGAAGGGAATTTCTTTGTGCATATTAGCAATTTTCAGTCTCATATCCCCATTCAATGGTGTGTACAGAAAACTGAACAGTGGTTAGGGTGTTGGGCAGTGTCCTGTCTCTCTCTCCTTATACTTGCTCTTCTGCTTCCACTGACAGTCTCTTGAATTAACTTACACTTACCATCCTTTCCCTAATATTAATGAAGAGGCTGTCTTTTCCTTTTTGTGTTTGCATAGTGCCTTGACCAGTTAATTTCCTATAATTAAAGCTTTAATGATCAATAATAATAACAATAGTGGCTCTACTAGTATATGTTAAAAGAAAACTGATCAAACTGTACATTCACAGGGCTTAGCAGGTCATGTTTTGGCTCGCAGAAATTCACTCATAAAGTCTAATTTTCTGTTGGGGAAGGAAGCTTAGGATGTCCTAAACAATTTTTTTTTTGTATGGAAAGTGTGTTTACAGATCAAAAAGGCACTGGCAAGTTTTGTGAATCTCAGACCTCTGCGTGTCAGAATCCATATTGAGATCTGGCAAGCACTGTCCTAGCAGTATTAGCTCTTTGGAGCAATTTGGGATTGGGAAATCAAGATATTATCTCTCAGTCAGATTCAGTAGGTGCTTTAGACAGATCTGAGATGTCTTACTGATTTACAGCAGACAAGGTTCTTTGGGTGAATCAGATATCTTTTATTAGACCAACTTAAATAGTTGGGGAAAAAAATAAGACGCTTTCGGGTTTAAAAACCCTTCATCAGGATTTTTGCTCACTGATTTTCTGGTTCCTGTCTGCAGAGATATGCCCAGGGAATATCCCAGGAAGAGATTTCCCAGGTCTGTTATTACACTTCCATGCCTTGACTCAGGTCACACATTGTGGATTCCAGGGGGCCATGTATCTGAAAGCAAGGAATCAGGGATTGCCCTGTTTTCAGTTGTTCTGCAAGACTGGGCCCCTGAAACCCTGGGTGCAGCGGAGATCTGACCTAACAGGATGACAGGCAATGTCTGCATCACCCACTGAAGCAGATCACCTGTGCCAGAACACATCATGGGACAGCTGAGCCACTTAATTTGGAGACATCTTTTTACAGCATTAGTGTCATCTGCAAATTTGCTAAAATGTGTACTCTGACCCATTGTCCATATCATTAACAATGGTGTTAAATGCTGCTGGACCCAGAAAGGACCACGGGGATCTCTACTTGTTACCTCCTGCCAAATAGACTTTAAGCCTTTGATGACTACTTGTTGAGTACAATGATCTAACTGTGTATTCAGTTTACAGTATTTTTGTGTATTTCCTTAGCCTGTTACCAAGAATGTCATGGATGAGTGTCAAAAGCCTTGCTGATGTCAAGGTATAGCACATCCAATGTTCCTGCCCCCATACACAGAGTCTGTCACCTTATCATAGAAGGAATCAGGTTGTGCAGGTGTGACTTGCTTTTGGAGAATCCATGCTGTTTCCTACTGATCACCTTGTTCTCCTCCAGGTGCTTCACGATAGATTCCTTGAGGATCTGATTCATGACCTTCCCAAGTATTTAGGTCAGACTAACTGGTCTGTAATTCCCCAGATCCTCCTTCTTACCTTTCTTAAAGATGGGAAAATATACTAACAGTCTTTAGTCCCCCTTTTCCAATAATCTAAAAATGAGTAATGCCCGTTTTCAGTCATCTAGGACCTCACCTGACTTCCAGAAGTTCTCAAAGAGGATAACCAATGACTACAAAATTACCTTAGCCAATTCCTTCAGAACACTAGGATGTATCCCACCCTGACCTTGCTGACCTGAAGACTTGGAAAGGGGCTTTTAACACTGTGGTGGCTTCCAAGACATATTACAAGTTGATGACTTTCCTTGCCACAGGATTTAGACTGATTGTACATTAGATCACATTCTTCAAGCAATAAGAATTCGAATTTCTCCAGGAATGAAGGTTTAGGCCCTAAAGCCTTACTGAATTGAAGAATACAGGGTGTGTCTACATATCACCATACATTGATATTTTGTTAGTGAACTGTGTTTTAATATTTGCTATGATGAAGTAGTAAAACATGACACAGTGACCACCCGTACTGCGGCGTATGGGTGGCTAATGCAAAGATTCACTGGCTATATCACTGTGCTGGCACATTATAGTCGGGGAGCGCACCACTATACTGATGTAGCTGATGATCACACGTAGACACGTGTGATTGTTGTGTTGCCAATGTGTGTCACTATGTCACCATAGGGTGACATGTAGATGCACCCACTGTTAAACACTTGAGTATAAACTGATCTTTGGACCTTTATTTCTATCTCTATTCAGTAAAGAATTTAAGAATAAACTTACTTTTATAATATTAAATAGAAGATTCCTGTCTGAGCTACCAGCATAGAAAATCTAATGCTTTTTGTGACCAGAGGTAACTGACTTAGGCAAACTGGAGCTAACCTACCGCTTAACTTTATAGGCTAACTGATCATCACCACATGCATGTGAGTTTATTGCTGAAGTAAGAGAGAGAGGGGTTTGAATATGCAAAAAATATAAAATGATATTATTGTTCAAATCTGCTGAGTCCATAGTTCCTAAAGCAACCGTTCCTGACACTTAGGGAAAAAAAAAACAACAATTTGCTTTCGGGATAGATGTTGTCATCTCTTTGTTACTCATTTCCCTTTTAAAATTAGAAGTTTGATGTTATTAACTTATTTTTTCTGTTACTTCTTTAAGGAGTGGCATTAACTTTTCTTTCATGTTGACCACAACTGGCACTAACAGAATTGCCAAGGGAGTACTCATCTTCTATGAAGAACAGGCACTGAATCAGGAGAGAGATTCATCTTTTAATAAAGTCACAGGCACAATGAATAAACCAAAGGAGCAGAATGAGGGCATCCTAACAAGAGTGAACAAGTCTCTTTATAAACAGAGGAAGAATAGATGGGCAGCAGAACTTGTATTCTAGCCTCTGAAAAACTTGGTGAAATTCACATTGGATATTCCAGGTTCCGGGAGATACAGTCATTTGATAGGTAAAGGGGAAAAAAAAAAGAAAAGGAACCCATTATTTTACTCGGTCTATGCACCCCCATTAATCCAACATATAGTTTGTGAAACATTAAATGGCACAAAATGATTAGTAAAATCAGTATATTAAATATACACTTTTCATAGTGCTAAATGCAAGGTATACAAAGAATTCACAAGCACAAGAGCAGGTAACTCATAATTGCATTAGATGTGAAACTTTAAATGCATATAAAATTGTTAGAGTTGATAATTAAATCTTCAAGATAAATATTAACTGAATATCTATCCATACTCTATATATTGCCTACTTAGTTTTTTCAATATGCACATATATGTATTTTGGCAGGAGTTTTTAAAGTTCAGTGGTAAAAAAGCTCAATTCCTTTATCCCCTTTAGGAAAAATAGGGTCTTTATTCTTGAGAAATACTTTCAACCTCTTTTTCAGTGCACATATAAAACCTGCCAAGTTTATGTCTTCAACATAAGAAACCAGCATCCAGTTTTTAAAACAAAATATGGTACTTTGGAGCCAAGGTCCCTTTCCAGATTAGAAAAAAAATGGGTCAGCATGAATTGAACAGGTGCAGACTTCACTTTTAGGGGACTGGTACTGTGTTAATGTCTGGGGGGAAAAAAAAATAACTCTGTATAATGCAACGTGTAATGAGCTCAATCAAACACCACTAATATCAACAGGACTTTTGCAGTTCATTTAATTAGGAGATCAGATTTATTGCCATTCCTTGAAAATACTTTTTTATAGAGACAGTATAATACGCATGAATTGTTCTCTTGAATGTACTGATACTGTTGTTGGTATTCTGGAACTATTTAACCCATAAATGCAGTGTTACTTATTTTCATTTTAGTTATCATGTTAGAAAAGGGATTTTAACAGTGTTTGCAGGACTGAGACCATAAAATCAAAGTTCAATTAAGTTTTAATGACAGAGGAACAAGCTAGTAAAAAGCTTCTTTGACCAAAGCAGTATTTACATTTCTTTCTCAGAGCTAAATTTTGACACCCTTGCTATGACTGGATTGTACCACAGATGCTTTCACTAAGTTCATTTACATTACTCAAAGGATAGAAGAATGCAGTGCTGGGATAGATAAAGCCTCTTAATACAGCCTCGGATGTAACTGATTTGAGTCATGTTCTGGACTTTTCCAGCTGAGGAATCAGAGATAACTGGATGGGATGCCAACTCCCTTATCTTCTACTGGCTAAGAAAATTGGCAGAAATTCACCCTGGTAATGCAACAGATTGCTAGGCTTAGGTGGATCTTTGACCTTTTCTGACTCAGGGTGGCTTATCAAAGAAGGTTTCAAAATCTGTCCCATGGTGAGTAAAAACAGCAATATATTATCCCATAGCACTTAAACATTTTAAAAGTCAAGGGATGGCATGATAATTTTTGATAGCACTACAAAGTATAAGCAGCTTTCCCAAATTAGAAAGACAAATTCTCAAAACTAGATTTTTCAAAGGTATTTTAAAATACCTAAAGATTCAGAAAAGTACAGTGTGAGATTTCAGAAATGTTCATATACTTTAGGTGGCTAACTCCCTGTTGATTTGAACTAGAATTAAGTAAATTAATGCACCTTTGAAATGTCCTATTAATCATATAACTATGTGTCTTTAAGTATAATGTCCACATTATCAATAATTTTGTGTATTTATTAACTATTTCTTGATACAGATGAGAAAAAGAGAGAGAAGTCTTGAATCTTAGGCAAAATAGTAGTTAGCAGTTTAAATGCTAGTATTGTTTAGTACGCATAAAAAGTTGGGTAGGGTATCTGGGGCCCTTTTCCCCCCTGGAATAGGGTACCTGAAGCCAGAGCGCTTTCTGTCTGGGATGACTGGAGAGCGTGGGCTACTATGATTTATTTATGTATTTATTTATTTGTTCATTTATTTATTGTGGCACAAAGAATACCTTATGTCACAAGGAAGCTACCTGGCCAGATCACAACCTTACTGAGGATATTCAGTGTGTTGGTGGTCTTGGGTATCCAGACCTGAATCAGAAAATGTGTCTAAGTATCAAAAACTACCCTTACATAGATGTCCATAAGGGAAATAAAATTCTATTAATGCAAAAGCTTAAATCCTAAAGAATTACTTTAAAATTATGAATATCTATCTATCTATCTATGTGTGTGTGTTTTCAAAATGTATGAAAATTAATAACA